AGGGGGGCAGCCTCTGTCTGAGAAGGCTGCCAGGGGCAGGGCCCTCTGGAGAAGGGCGGACTTCAATAAGGCCGGGCAGTGCAGCAAAGGTTAGGGGACAAGATGGAGGCTCTGGGCTTGGTGACTGTGCAGCAGGACTTCTAAAGGACTGGATGGACAGGTTTTGTGGGGGAGGGCAAGAGTCTGACGAAGTAGGCTCAAGGAAGCAGCCACCGCCCGGGGCGTTAGGAGGGGACGATCAATAAAATCAGCCACGTGAGGGAGGCCTGGGAGAGGGAGTCCTGACACCGGGCCCTCTGGTCTCAGAGAATTCAGCTGTAGGTATTTCTCTGTCTATGGACAGCGAGAGAAGGTCCAGGAAGAGAGTATGGAGCGCTAGCCCCCTGCAGAAGCACACACAGCCGTGGGCAAGAGAACTGAGCCAGGCCATTCGGGACTCTGGACGCCGGCCCTGACTCTCTGGACAGGTCAGACAGAATGGGGAGCCTGTGTGTCTGGGGCAGACAACGAAATCCATCTTGCACACCCTGGAGTCCCACAGAGACCCAGAGCAAATCAACATTGGAAGTACCCAAGATTCTTTCTTTGTCTTCACTGGAGCCAAGAGAGTGGGCAAGTGCACACTAACAGTCAGTGACCCTCCTCTTAATCCTCTTTATCCTAGCCAGCTGGCTTTTGGCTGTTAAGCGGCAAGAGCACTGAACCAGCAGCCAGGAAGCCTGGCTGAAAGCCATCTGCTATCCTAGCTCTCCAGACAAGTTCCTGTTTGAGCCTCAGTTTCCTTGTCTGGAAAATGGGTGTAACATCTTCCCTTGAAATCTGCACATGAGTAAGTTTCAATGAGATAAACTCTGAAAAATTCTGAAAGCTGAGATGTGACATATAGATTAAGACTGCGATTTTTGACTTCATTCCTTAGCTCTATTCCAGCTTCAGAAACTTCTTCCCAGTCCCCAGCACCCAGATTCAGCTCTTTGATCAGTTACTGCTTTCATCTGGTGCGCACGGCCCATCGTTCAGTGGCCTTCCTTACAAGAGTGATAATTGGGCCATTTAAGGCCCCAGGCTTATGAAAAGAGGTAGATGTGGGGGCAACAGGTGTACCTTCCCTGCTTCTCATGCGATACCAGGAGGGCAAGCTCATGCCTGTGCGCGGGCCTGGCTGTATCTGACCAGCGTGAGCTTATGGAGAAAGCCCTGCGCTGACGGGGATCAACAGACCTGGATCCTAGTCCAAGTGCTGTGACATTTGTCTGGAGGCCCTGCGCAAGCCCCTGGAATTTAACTTCCTCATCCACAAAATGAGGCTTTCAGGGGTCTTTCCTTGTTCAAATGCCCTCGAACAGTGCTGTCTGACGGAAGTATCATGCAAGCCACGAATGCAAGTTGCACATATAATTTAAATTGTTCTAGTAGCCACATTATGAAAGCAACAAGAAACAGGTGAAATGAATTTCAATATTTTTATTTAACCTAATATGCCCAAAATATTGTTATTTCAAGATGTAACCAATATAAAAAATGTTGAGATATTTTGCTCTTTTTTTTCATGTAAGTATTCAAAATCTGGTGTTATCTTTTACACATACAAGACATCTCAGTTCAAACTGCCACATTTGGAGGGCTCAGTAAGCACAGGCAGCTAGTGGCTACCATATTGAACAGTGCGGCTAAGAATTCTTGATCTTGGTTACTATGGAGTCCAGCTCAAAGGAGAATAGAATGGGAGAGGGATCTAGAATATTGACCCAGGCGGCCCAGCCCTCATTTCTAACTTGGGAACCACTAGGAAGCTGCCTCCGGTTCCCCTGCTCCCCTTCCCCTCCACCTGCTCCCATTCCTGCCCTCTCCTCTTCAGTTCTGCCTGCCCCACCCCCACCTTACGCCCTGGACAACCAGGACAGTTGACCCACTTTACCACTTTACCACTTACCCTACCCCTCTCCAAGTCTTGGTTTCCCCCTCCCCTGCCTGTCATTTTACTCCTTCTTTTCCCTTTTCTGTCCCTCTGCCCTCCCATCTACCACCATCCTTTCTGACTGGCCCCCCTCTTTCTCTCAGTCCTTCCTTTGCCTCTGACCCGGCTCCTTCCTCAAGTTGTCTGAGACCTGTAACTGTCAGATCCCTCAGGCCTCCTCTTCAGACCTCAACCCCAAGGATGCCCCAGTCTCACCTGGCGATTCCCACTGCCTAGCTGGGGACTAGGTGTCCCTGCTAGTCAGATTCCTGGTTCAGTCCAGAACTTCTGGTGACATGAGCACCCAACAGCCTATTGCCATGGGGGCCAACAGATAGCCAGCCCCAGTCCACAAAGCATCTCTCTCAGGAAGGGTTTCTCTCCTAGTATTAAGTTCTCAGTCACACTGGTCTTGGCTAGCTCTCTGGATACCTAGACTGATAACAGAGTTCTTGTTCCTGCCTGGGTTGGCTAGCCAGCCCTAGTCAACTCCAACACTTGTAACTGATCTCTGGGCCATGGTGTACCTGTGGTCAAACCATGGCTAACAGCAAGAGCATGGCCAAGGAGTCTGTGGCTTCTGTCCTGCCTTCCAGGAAGGCAAGCCCTGTGGATCTGGTCACTGTTGGAGCAACTGCTAGAGAGAAGTTCCATGAGAACATGTCAGCAAAGACCCAGAAATTCTCCTCCACAGAGACCATAACCCATTTCCTCCCAGATCCCATCTTTATCCTAAGATGTGCAGAACATTACAACCACTGCTACAATCTACAACTGAGATTCCAACATCTACAGGAAGGAACAGGTTTCCATTGGATTCTGAACAGAGCCACATCAAACTCTAAAATATGGTGCTCTTTCTCTCTCGACCAATTCACAACCAGAATTCGAGGACAACAGAGTCTAAATAGGAAAGAGCTGCCTATACACCGTTCAACAAGGATAAAAGAGTGAGTTTCTTAGGAAACTCCAATTTTGAGCTACAGAGTCTTCTGGATATTACCAGAAGAGGAATGGGTGTAGGGAGGAGGGGAAAGAATACCCATGAAGACCCGCCAGCTCCCTTCTCCTTCTCAAGTACAAAGTGTGTCAGCTCTGTTCCTGAAGGAAAATCGGAAGAGTCCGGTAAGACTAGGCCCTCTGGGAACACCTTTCTTTCTTTTCATCCATTATCATCCTTGTGCTATTTGGGTCCCAGATACTTCAGATTTCCTAGCACAGAGATCCTGGGAGACACATCAAAGTAGCTGTGTGGAGAAGGCCAGCAGACCAAGGAGCCACCTGTTATGGGCAGAAGGCAATGACTCCTGGGTTGTGTACATCCACCCAGATCTGAAGAAGCATAGAGAACAGTGAAAGGATGATGCCAGTCCAACACAAGGGACTTGAGATCTTGGGCCCCAATCCTCCCTGACGGCCTCACCATGTCTTCCTGATTTCCCCTCCTCCTTTCCTCCTTGCTTTGGTGTAACAGGAAGATGCCAGAAGAATCAGAAACAAGTTCATCTTTTCTATTTTCCAGTTTAATCAGTATAATTTGTTAATTTATCAGATCACTTCACCAAAATAGGATTTGACCAGCTTTAGGAGATATATATAATACCACAGGAGAAACGAAACAATAAAGGATAGGGAAGTGAAACACGGCCAAATAAAGTGAAGCATGGATTGATGCACATGTTGAAACCCAAAGAGCCTGTCCCCTTTTTAGGATTGGACCTTAAACTTCTGAGCCTCCTTGTGGCCAAACTTTAATCCATTTTAATTTCACAGTCACTAAGAGAGGATGAAAATCAATCACAGATGTCTAGTTTTCATAACAAATTAGTTTCTCAAGGAAGGTCCCCAAAGATAACACCTGTGTTTTCTGTCTCCCCAGGACGTGCCAGACGGGGTCAGCATGACCTCCAGCCCAGCTGGCCTCACCTCCTCTGTCTATTTCTGGGAAACTTCAGGAGTGGGGTGGGGTGGGGTTGGGGACCTCAGATGTGGTCATGAACAAGCCCTGTCCTCACTGGGTGCTGTCTGTAGAGGTGTTCTCCTGACCTGGACCCCAGGTGAGGTTGGCACTGAGGGTTTCAAAGAAGCTTCTCACCACCACCTCCAGGGCACACCCTTGACCCACTCCTGCTGGTCTCTGCTCTCTTTAAATATGCAGAAGCTACTCTGAGATCTATGAATTCTCCAAAGTGCTGAAGCCAACCCACGTTCTCTGTGGAAGGAGGGGGAAGAGCCCTTTCCGCTCTGCCACATTTGTCACCTGGCACCAAGTGGAGCTCCCTGAGCCCCAGTGACTCAGAAGAGATTTCAGTGACAACGGCTCTGTCAACCCCTGCCCGTGGTTCCTCTCCCGCTTGGGCTCAGATGAACCCGCAGTGCTGATCCACACCAGCCTTGGAGATAGACTTGTTTACTCAATCTTCTTCCCCTCTAGGAGGCACAATTATGGAACATTTTCCTACAATGAAAACGTGAAAAATAAATGTGACTTTAGAAATAAGTACTATGTGATGGCAGACAGGATCAGAATCATCACACACCAAGAGAATCACTAACCGTGCCCTGATTAGAAAATCGATGTCTATGTGGATCAGTGAGTCCAGGCCAAACTGTTCACCTGGATTCTGCCCTTGACTGTTCTGATGCTCTTGACTTAAGTAAGTGACTGTTAGAACAAAGCAGCTCTCAGCCTTGAGAGGAGGAGAACCGACAGCACACTGAGAAGAGGGGCCCCGCACACTCTCTGCTTCTTCCCCCAAGCAGCACGGGAGGGGGTTCCTGGGCGCAGGCTCCTTCTAGGGTTCCTGACAGGCGCCAGGTGAGAGATGCACAGAGGGAAATGAGGAGAGGCCATCCACTCAGCTGCACCGTGGGGTGGGGGAAGTAACCGTGAGGTGAAGAAGAACGTGCCTTTAGCCCCCTAAATATGCCTTTGGAGTTAACTCCAGATTTGCCTAAAATCAGAGTGAGGGAAAAGTGGTGCTAAATATATGCTAGTGGTCATACCGGTGTTGGGGGCTAGGAGCTGTGGGGAAGACGACAAAAGTGTCTGCCATCCCAGACTCCCCTGACCTCCCACTGCACGTAGCACCAACCTCTATGGCAGAGGCTGCTGTTTGCTGCTAAGATGTGGGGGGGTAAGGGACGTCTAAAGGAAGAATGGGATCAAAATGGAGGTAAGGGGATGTTTCACAGGATTCTGACTGCAGGTACTGACTCCATCCAGAAAGACTTCCCAGGCAGCTGGGTAACCGCACCCAGCTGGAAAGTGCCATTAGAAGGGAGAACATGTGTCTGGGAGACGGAGTCTGTCAGAAGTCTGAGTGTGCAAGACTCCCTGGCGACATGAAGGCGGCTTGTCTGTGAGCCACTGAGTGTGTACCTAAGTGCACGTGCTGAATGTGTGGGCGAGGAGGCCGAAGACGGCAGCAGGTGGGCATGGTGGGGCTGGAGGAGCCCGGGAGTCACCCGCGTAGGGCTGGCGGGCAGGTGACTGGGCCCCTAAGAGGAGAGCCCAGGGCAGGAGACAGAACTGGAAGTCGTCAGCTTCCACCCAGTGGCAAAAAATGCAAATGGAACAGAATGCAGGGAGCAAATGGAGAAGCAGGCCTGGGACTGACGTCTGGAGTCCCAAGACCCAGGGCAGCCTGGGTAACATGAGTCCACCCCGCCTCTGGACATCACTGCATCACTACGGCACAACTCTGCCCCATCCCTAGAGGGCGTCACTCTTCTCCACAACGTGACTAAATATATACTTCTCTGCAGCCTGAAGGCAGAGAGCTATCCCCACCAGGGGTCCCCGAACAGGATGGGGCAGAGGAGACCACCCAGGGGACCCAGGGGTCCTGACGGTCACATTTTCAGCATGGGAGGACCCCAGGTACCTTATACTCCTTCGGGCAGGGGGCTGTGGGGACAAAAGGCTGAGAAAGCCATGACCATGAGTTCAGCTGCTGAGGCCAAGGCCTAAGAAAAAACTGGGTCTCTAAAGCAGCCTCAGCCCCACCTTTCCAGCCCCTTCCTTTGTGTCCGCTGCCTCCTGAGTCGTGGAAGGAGAGTCCTTTTGGTGCCCTTAAGTCACCTCAGAAGAGCCAACGCCCCTCCTGGGGTGGAGGGCACAGAAACCAAGTGAAGGGACGCAGCTCGCAGTTCCACCCTCCCCGGGTAGCATTCACTGTGTCGGTCTCCCCCACAGCACGGGCTGACCGGCAGCCGCCCAGGCTGAGGCCCGTTCGCAGTGAAGCTCCGCCCCAGGAGCGGACTCGTGTCAACAAAGCTCAGGATGTGTAAAACCAGATGCCAGTTTATTCGAGCAGCCAAGACCTGCTGGAGGATGTCCAGGTGCCCCGGGAAAGTGGTGGTCAGGACCCAAACACAGAAGCCACCGGAAAGAGAACCTCTTCCAAAGGAAGAGCTGGGTACACAGGGAGGAGGGTCCACCCGGGCCCAGTCTTCTCCCGGCCCACGCTGCCCTTGCCTTCACGGCTGAACCCACAGTTAAGAGTTACGAGAAAGGAGTGACAGGTAACAAACATCAAAACTTCACTGGGAACGAGACACTAGCACACTAGCAGGGGAACGGGTGACACTCAAGTGGGGAGAGGCTGCCATCTCACTTCTGCACAGAGCTCAGCTTGGCCTCCACAGTGAAGGTTCCAGAAGACTCAGGACTACACTGAGAATTTTGGGTCGGCAGGGATGGAGGCAGTGTCCAAAAGATGACAGGAGTGTGCGGGGCTTGGGGGGTGTGGGCAGTGGCCTAGAGCTCCTTTGAGGGGCATCTTCCTCCACACTTGGGGCTTCTCAAGTTCTGTCCAAGCCCCAATATTCCTGAGTTTGAAAAGACTCCCGTTCTCAGAGTTTAACTACCAGGCACACAGAGAACTCTCTACTCCTAACCTCTCCCCCAGCTTCAGGCCCACATAGCCAAGTGCCTGTTGCATATCGCCACTCAGATGTCCTCTAGGCACCTCAAGTTCAAAATGTCCCGGACTAAACACAATCTTCCGCCCTCCTGCCCCAGCTGCATCTCCTTCCCATGTTCTCAATTCTGCATGAGGACATGCTCTGCCCAGTCATCCACGGTTCTAGCTTTCCTGTGCTGTCCCCAATTCTGCCTCTGAAACCTCTCAAATCCACCCCTCGTCTTCAGTGTAACCACTGCTCTAGTTCAGACCCTCACTTTTCACTAGAATATTGCAATAGCATCCCAACAGGTCACCCTAATTGTAGCAAACCCAAGTTCCATTCAGCTATTAGATGTGTGCACCTCTGACCATGCCACCCTCAGCCTGTATCTAAGCTCCACTCAGACATGGGGTCCTCCATGACCCTGCCCCCTCCAATCTCAGCTCCCACCACTCCTCTCCTCCCATTTTACACCCCAACAGTGCTAAGAAGCTATGGTCCCACCCCCACCTGAATCCATGCTATTTCCACCATTGTGCCTTTCCCTGGAACTCCCTTCCTCTCCTTCAGGGCCCTTCCTCTCAGCTCCTACGGTGCCCTAGATAGCATCTTATTTCAGCTAATGACATCTGTTGATTCCAGTCCAGCCTCACCCATGACCCCTGCCCCTCAGGGATCTCGTGAGCCAGGAAAGTAAACCGGGCAGGAGTTGACAGGCAGGGTTCCCACGGAAGCTAGGTCTCGAGAAGCCAAGGAAGGGGTCAAGGAGTGATCATTCCGTGGCAGTCAAACCTCTCCACTGACTTCCTCACATGTGATCAGAAAGTCGCATTTTTCAAGGTTCCAACCCATCCGTTATCAGATAGGCACTTACCAGGTCTGTGAAATAACCAGGGTAGGAACGGAATCCCAGTGTCAGAGGCAGACGTCAGGAGAGGGGTTTTCCTTTAAAATCCTGTGGAAACCAAAGCCCTTGGCCAGCATTTTTAAACCCTGCTGAGGAGAAACTCTGGAGGCCAAAGGGCTGCAGCTTAGAAAACCATCCTGTGAACCCCTGATCTAGCCTGTGTGGGAGGCGGGTCTTAAGGGACAACACTTAGAAAGTCGTGGGCAGGCCTGGGATGAGCGGGCTCAGGATAAAACCGTGCCCTGAACGGCGTTCAGTCCTCTCAGCAGAGTGCCCCACACACCAACTCCTTCCACCGCCCTCCTGCTCCACCTTGGCATGGGGACCAGGGACCAGGCGTCTGCTATGCCCAGAGGGAAGGGTCAGAGAGGCCAAAGCCCAGGCCCAGGTTTCTAAGGTCTAACCTGACCCAGCCAAGGGCAACAAGAAGCAGGCGTGACTCCCCAAGGAAAGGGGAAACCTTAAACCCCATTTCCTTAGCCAGAGCAGTACCTCACTGAAAGAAACATCGCTTTGGCTCCGTATTTTCCCCAATCTCAACCCACCTCTCTCTTACCCATTGTACTGTAAAGAGGGAAATTCCCACCAAATGCTTAGCCTTGCTCAAAGCACACTGCCAATTCTAAACATTGTCCTTCAATCTTTAGGGATTCTGTTTCCGTATTTGTTACAAGGAGAATTCGTAAAAGAATTTTAACAGGAAACGTGGTCTAGGAAGTGCTTGGAGATCCTGGCCCTGAGTTACCTGCCCTGATGTGAAAGGGGATTCAGCATAAAGGTAACAGCACCTCAGGCTCTGGAGACAGACGGATTGGATTGAATCCTGCCTCTGCCCCCTTCAGATGTGTGACTTAACCTTCCCAAGCCTCAGTTTTCTCCTCTGAAAAATGGGGAGAATACGAGTACCTACCTCACGGGGCTGCGGTGAGGATTAAATGAGACGATGTGTCTAAAGTGCTTAGCATACAGCCCCCCAGAGAGCAAATGCTCAACAAACACTGGCCACTTTTGCTAGTATTAATCATGATTTAACAATGATGTCACTGTTGTTCCTACTCTTTGTTGAGCTCACGGTGGCCTGCTCTAGGCCACTGATTCTCAATTATCCCCCTCTCTCACCAGAGGCTCAAAGTTCTCCCGTGAGGATACGCTCGACTGAAAACTACCATGTGTGAGAACGTGCCAATATGCCAACAGGACACGTGCACATGTGGCCGGTGTGAAGGCATGGCGAGGTTTGGGATCACTGCTCAGGACCACTGATTTACCTCTAATCCCCTAAGTTACCAGTTTGGCTCAAACACTGATAAAGCTCTTACATGACAGCAAATCTAAGCCCAGCCTGAGGACTGTGTGTGGGTTTTTTACAGGAGAAAAACAAATTACACTTAAGAAAAGTGCCGTCAAATCTGGATCCTTAGCATTTATAATTCACTTCCGAATTACCTGGATTATATCAAGATTTAACTTCCCTGGGTATACACCAAACTTAAAAATTGGGAACGTTTCTTTCTAGCATACATCTGGGGGATTTAAATATACATTTATCTCTTCTGTTGTGGGAGGAGGTGTCTCCTACGATGCCTTCCCTCCTGTGTGGGTTCTCCGGTGGGCGCTGAAGTGGGAACTATTGTTAAAGTCTTTACCGCACTCCATGCACTTGTAGGGTTTCTCCCCAGTGTGGATTCTCTGGTGAATGATAAGACTGGAGCTCTGGTTAAAGCATTTCCCACATTCTCTGCACTTATAAGGCTTCTCTCCCGTGTGAATCCTCTGGTGAGTAATGAGGTTAGAGCGGTCGCGGAAGAATTTCCCACACTCGAGGCATTTGTAGGGCTTCTCCCCTGTGTGCACTCGCTGGTGCGTGATGAGCTTGGAGCGCTCGCTGAAGCATTTCCCACAGTCCGCACACTTATACGGCTTCTCCCCAGTGTGGGTTCGCTGATGGTTGGCCAGCGTGGAGCTCTTACTGAAGCTTTTCCCACATTCAGCACATTCATACGGTTTCTCCCCCGTATGGATTCTTTGGTGACTGATGAGGGCAGAGCTCTTAGAGAAGGTTCTTGCACATTCGGAACACTGGTAAAGCTTTTCCCCTGAGTTGGCGCTCTGCGGTCCCGGAGGATTCAAGTTCTTCCTGGCACTTTGAGGTTGTTCAGGAGTTGGCTCCTCTGCAGAGTTCCTCCAGTGAGCACCGAAGGATGGGCTTTGGCCAAAGTGGTCCCCAGGCTCACGACAGTGGTCAGGATTTCCTCCCAGGTGGATTCGCTGATGTTTCAGAAGGTTTGAGCTCTGGTTGAAGCTTTTCCAACATTCCCCACATTTATAGGGCTTCTCCCCCGTGTGGATTCTCTGGTGGGTGACGAGATTGGAGTGGTCACTAAAGCTCTTCCCACATTCCAGGCATGTGTAGGGCTTCTCTCCAGTGTGGATTCTCTGATGGGTGTTGAGGTTAGAGCGGTCACTAAAGCTTTTCCCACATTCAAGGCACGCATAGGGCTTCTCACCTGTGTGGATCCGCTGGTGGGCGATGAAGTGGGAGCTCCGACTGAAGCTTTTCACGCACATGTCACACTTGTAGGGCTTCTCCGCAAGGTACAGGCCTTGATGGTCAATAAGTTTTTCTAAGTCCTCTTCAGAAGAACATTCTTCCCACTGTTCCTGGGGGGGATTTCCCCACTGCCTTTCACCTTCATTTTCATTTTCACTGTCCTCCCCCCAGTCATAAGGGTGGCAAACACCCTCTGTAGCACAGTTTGATAAGGCTCCAGGCAAATCCTCAAAAATGTCCTGCTCTGAAATCTGGTCTTCATCCTCATGCCTCATCTCAAAACCTGAAAGAATAAACAGAAATGTGTTTTTTGTTGATTTATTAGTTAGCATCTATTTATATATCTCATGTCTTGTGAATTTGTCAAACGTGAATTTACATCTTGTACCTTGTATCTTAGAAATGTGACTGACATGAAATTGACCAAGTTTTGCTGCAGACACGAATTTCTGAGAATGGAGTTGGGGACATGGTGACCCCACAAGGAGCCATGAGGCCCAGGCCAAGCAGACAGCTGGTCAGTCTCCCTGGCCAACTGCCCTATCCCACTATTCAACAATGAACACCTCCTCCTTCTACTACATTCAGTATATCCTGTGTCATATGAGATTGAACAAACTGTATAATTTCCCAGATGAATCCCAGTAAAACCTAGACCTGACTGGCTGTCTCATTTCGGGGATTACACCTTTGGGGATCATCTGAGCAAAGCACAAGTCCTTTTCCTGTTCAATTCCACTATCTCTTTTAGTTCAGAGACAAAACATAATGAGCCAGGCTCCCTCCCTCTCTCTGCATGCTTGTGGATTTTGTGGATATCCAATTACTCCCGGCTTACCAGTGTTTGGGGTTTTAGGACATGGGTTTGGAGGTTTGGTGGCATCATCATCTGCCATCTCATTCCAGGCCTCCTCGTCATCAGCTTCAGTATTGCTCTGCCCAGACCTAGGGAGACCAGCTGCCTCCCTGAGGGTACCCATGGCTCTGACTGCAGTCCGAGCCCTCATCAGTGAGTCGAGCTCCTCATAGAAGGGGCATGTCCCTGGTGGGTGGCTACTCTTGGCTTTCCGGTAGCTTCGAAGGAGGTTCTTGAATCTGTAGCGACACTGCTCCAGTGTCCGCAGGAAGCCCTGTGCACACAGCCGCTCTGCAATGGCCCGGTACACCTGGCTGTTCTGGTGACAGGTGCGAAGCTTTTCAGAGAATGGAGACTCACTGAGAATGGTCAGGAAGGCCTTGGTCTCCTCGTAGCCCCAGTGCACACCTGCTGTCAAGAGTGAAGAGTTCAGAATTGTGAGACTTAATGAGACTTGCCTAGGTCATTAGGGATCGGGGTCACCTGCCCTGCTAAATGCCTAGAACACAAGCAACTCAGAAATTGTCGAGGTGCCTGGGGTACCAGCACAGAATATACCCTTGCTTCTTAGGAGTATATCAGAGCTTCCCCACCGTACCCCCTTCTAAGAGATTAAGTGTCTTGGTTGAAGGGGAGGACTTAGGGGGCCACATTATACCAGATGACCCCACTCCTCTGGCTTCAGCAGACTGTTTCAGAGACAGGCCTGTAATTGAGATCCAAGAGACTCTCTGTATATCCATTCAATACATGTCCTCTATTCACTTTATGAATTTTCCTCTTAACAAACACGAAAACTGAGAATCCCTAAAGACACAATTAGACTTCAAATAATCATGCAATGGAGTCCAACTGAAGCCCTTTCCTCTTTTGTGAAGGAATAAAAAGGAAGTGGTCTAGTCTTAGTTCCTTCGCAGGTAAATGATGCAGCCTAGGGAGGCAGCATGGTGGAGGGAAAACCACATAAAACTGGACTCAGATCCTGACGCTGCCCCTGACTCACTGTGTATCTTTAGACAAGCTGCTTCATCTCGTGGGCTTCAGTGTTTCCACTTTCACAATGATTGGGTGTTTCCCAAACATCGACTGTTTAACTATATACTATCATTTCTGCTGTATCTGTTAAATATTTCAGTCAATATTTTTCTTTAGCTAAATTTACTGTGAAAGCACGGATTAATGGGCTCATCCGCATTAAAGCTGAACGTTCACTCATGTAACACCTATGACCTTCCCCACATCACCAGTGACACACTCTGAGAAATATTGAACTAGCTCTTTAAGGTCCCTTATGGTTTTAAAAGTGTTTGCTTCTATAACTAAGAAAACTCGTACAAGGGTATTGATCACAGGAAGGGAGAGTAGGAGGATGACCTCAGGAACCAAGTGCCTTACTCCAGGGGCATCAATCCAGACTTGCAGTCTGTGCCCTGAACTCAGGAGGCAGAGGTATGGCTGGCAGGAGGGTTGGAATCTGGATCCGATTAAACCCCTATGTTCTTACCAATACGACTCTGGAACAGAGCTGGGCCCCCGGGAATCCTGGGCCTCTGGGCAGACTCATCGGTGGCCAGGTCATCCCCGTTACAGTCTTCTGCCGTTTCCTCGGGCTCCCAGCTCCCTTCCTCCTGCTCATCCATCTCTGCGTCACTATCCCCCAGCCTAGGGAGTGCCACAGCCTCTCCTGGGTGGTCTGTAGCTCTGATGGCTGTCCGAGCCCTCACCAGGGCCTCCAGCTCCTCATAGAAGGGGCATGTGCCTGGTGGGTGGCTGCTCTTGGCTTTCCGGTAATTCCGTAGGAGGTTTTTGACCCTGTAGCGACACTGCTCCAGTGTCCGCAGGAAGCCCCGTGCCCTTAAGCGCTCTGCAATGGCCCGGTATACCTGGCGGTTCTGGTGACAAGTCCGGAGCTTTTCAGAGAAAGGAGACTCACTCAAAATTGCCAGGAAAGTTTTGGTCTCCTCATAGCCCCAGTGCACACCTGACACCTTCATGTCCTCCACATCCCACTGGCATTGTTCTTCCCAGGCCCTGGAGTCCCTCCAGGCCACGGCCTGAGCTGGTTTTGTTTGTTCATTATCCAGGCTGTAATCCGCAGTGTTCCTTTTCCCAGAATTTATAAGGCTTGGACCCCAAAATTCTGGTCCTTGCTCTCGCTGGGAGATAGTATTTGGTTTTAAAACTGGAACTCCTATACAAAAGGAAGAAGGGAAATGATTAAGTAGAAATGATACGTTCAGCAGTATTTCTCCGAACATCCCTGAAATCCATCACTTCCCTGTGAGAGGCTAACGAGGAATTCCCATGCTAATCCCTTAAAAGGTCTGGAGGGACAGGGAGAGGCAACTGGAGGCAACAGGATCGCTTCACCATGAACGTTAACTGACCCGTTTGCTTTGTTTGTTTGCTGTCTCATTGATGTTATGAAATTAATCATACAAAAGAATGACCGTCGTTGGTCCCGATATGGGCACACGGCCTAACTGGCCCAATCAGGATGAGTTTAATGGTTGGGAGAAAGGTTTCTCTCTCTCTTTCTGTGTGTGTTTGGGGTGGAAGAAGGGTGAGTCTCTCTTGCTAGGAAACTTGTGGCCTCAACTGCCACTGGCATTTATCTTTTGATTATGACACAAAATAGCTTTAACATGAAGCTGATACTGAGGGTGGCAGAGCAGAGAGAAAGAACGAACCTAGCGCTGTTGCGATGCTGCTGAGCCAATCTGTACTGTGGTTGGAGCACCCTCCTCTGGACTTCCAACAATGTGAGAAAATTAATTTCCTTATTTTTCAAAACTTAGCTATGTTTAAAGGACTTGCTGTCCCAACAGACCCCAGCCCTAATGAAATAGGAAGTCATTAATTAATATAAATATCTGAAGAAAACTAGACGAAAGAGTTCAGAGCTAAAAGAAGCTGAAGGATGATCTAGTTCAGCATTTCCCAACATCCGTTTCTTTGAACACTATTTTCCCCAGATATCATGTGTAAAAAAGGGCTATATTGTCAAGCAAGGTGCCAACAAGATTCTAGTACCTCACTGACATGGGTCAGACCTATCATTGTTTCTTCTGCTTTTCCCACTCCCGAGTCTAACTCCCCTCACACCGATCCCACGCTCCGCAGGGAAGCGGTTCATTATTATGTGGCTTCCCGTGGAAAGGTGTCTACAGAGAAAGGAATCTGTGCTGTTCATATGGCTTCAAGTATTATTTCTCATCGTGGTTTAATACGTCAGTCTCATGGGCTTAGCTCACTTGAGTCTGCCCCTGAGAGCTGGGTCCTGTTTGATGCTGAAAAGATTGGTTTTTTTTTTTTTCAGAGATTTATTTATTTTTTATTTTTTCTTAAAGATTGGCACCTGGGCTAACAACTGTTGCCAATCTTTTTTTTTTTTTCTGCTTTTATCTCCCCACCCCCCGCCCCCCGTACACAGTTGTATATCTTAGTTGCACGCTCTTCTAGTTGTGGGATGTGGGACACCGCCTCAACGTGGCCTGACGAGCAGTGCCATGTCCGCGCCCAGGATCCGAAACCTGGGCCGCCGCAGCAGAGCGCGCAAACTTAACCACTCGGCCACAGAGCCAGCCACTGGATTTCTGAGACAGCAGGCCAGCCCAGCCCCTGGACCGTGCTGAAAGTACTGAGGAAGTGAAGGGAACGAGCCCTGAGAGGGCAGGCTCTGGGAGGCCAGCCGGCCAGCCTCCATGCAGGCACTCCATCCCTGCCACCACAGTGCTGGCCACAAAGCACATGTCTTCTTCCTATGTCTGAAATTCCACAGACTTCACAGAGCCACGAGACTGAAGGGAGGGGCTGAAATCTCTTTGGGAACAGAACGTACCAGAAACCTGATAGTATCTTCTTCAGAGGGCCCTGTTTCCTTACCCAGGGACACGCCGTTCCCACAGCTGTCTCCTGGCGGGTCCTTGCGGAACTCCTTCTCAGCATGTCTGCCAGGGCCCAGGGCTTCCTGTGAGATGGAAAAGAAAAGGACCTCAAATGTCACTGACCCTTGAAAACAGCCTGGGAACCCTACCATGCCGCAGGAAAGATAATGGACACAGGGACACCACGTGGGAGGTCAGCATCGTAAGGAGCAGCAGGACCAAGCAGAGACCCAGTGGCCTGAGGGCGAAGGGCCGAGGCTAACACCCTGCGCCTTATGCCCAATGCAGAGGGCAGGCCACAGAGGGAGGAGAGGAACATAGGGGCAAGAGCACAGGAGAAGTAATGACAATAAAGGAAAACAAACAGCAGCTTACCTGGGACTCAGCTGTCACCTCCCAATCTCCAACGCTCCCCATCTTTGGGAGAGTAGGGACTCGGGGAGTGAGGACAGCTAAGGAGAAGAAAAAGACTCTGAAGCCTGAGCTCTGGTCCCCAAAAACCATCCCCCCTCAGGTCCAGCTTTCCAAAAGTGATGCTTGAGTCAAACTGAGGCTATCCCTATGCCAGTGCAGACTTCCCCTCCTACCTCCTTTCTAGAGCATTAGCTCCTAAGCTGCCTTGAGTGATGTGCCATGTGATAGATGCCAGCCCTCACCTCCTATGATCGCCACCTCGCCCCAGTCCTAGCCTGAATCTGCAGCAGGACTCAGATATAGTGGGCATGCTAACACCGTTGGGAGCTTCATCTTCTTTACAATGCTCATTTGCCTTACTTCTCAGTGTGTCCACAGACACTACTTTATCCCTTGCCTTGAATTCTGCACATCCCTTCTCCCCGTGCACCCTCCCTATCCCCCTCCCCTCACCCCTCTTTACTGATAGCCCCTGATTCTTGGTACTCACCACTCTCTCTCAGGGGCTGTGGTGCCATCTTGGTGTCTAGATGCTTGGGAAAGTCAGGGCATGGATTCTTCACCCACTGCTTCTGGGACTGTCCCTCAGGCCAGTGATCTGCTGGCTGCAGCTGAAAGCTTTGAGATTCCTGCCTTGCCTTTAAGGACCTGGTCTGTTCTGCACACAATTCCAGTTCCTACACACAGACGGTCAAAGTTCCCAATCATCAGTTCAATGAGACCAATTTTGGTAGAGCAAGGAATGTTCTTTTGAGTACAACTGGGGTCCAGAGGTAATAGGCTCGTTTTAAGATTCAAAGATGACTCAAAGTATGACAACAAAGCCATCAGACTGACTTCAGTAAAGAGACCAGCATTTATATCATCAAATGACTACTGTCTTATTCAACACAGGGAGACTAATAAGTGTCTCAATGAGGCCACTATTGTCCAAAACATTTTGAATCATAAAGAGACAAATTATGTGAAATCTTTATGACATTAAAAAATAATCTCTAAGCATCAAAAATAGGTTGTTTAATTTTTAAGTTCTCCAAAAATAAATAAACAAAAGTTAAACAGGTTTACATTAAAAGGCAGAGGAAAGCATAAAAACAGATGCAACTATGACTCTAAATACTCTTGCTGAAAGGCAAAGGAAATTCAAAAAAGAAATATGAGAAAAAGGAAGGACAAAGAATTATACATGGAATTTTAAAATGAAATAAAGTAAGTGCTGTTTCAGAAAGGCACATCTCTTCTTAAAACAGAAGGATGAGCCACTGCTACTCAAAAGGAAAACAGGAGTGGCAATTTTAATTCAATGTAGACGTTTAAGCAAAAAAGTACTCAGAGATACAGAGAATACATATAAAATAAAAGGAAATAATTAGTTAAGAGCTGACATGACCCAATTCAGCATAACTCATAAAGCTAACTTCTTATCTCTATCTCTCAGTTGGTTCCAAATTCAGAGATAGAGGCCAAGATGTTATTTCCTGGCCCCCAAACCCCAACAATGTAACAATCTCATTGCCTTATTTATAGAAACACCTAACTTTAAAAAATGCATTTCAATTTTTTCAATAGATATTTTCAATATTCACATGGCTCAAAAGTAGAAAATATATATAAGGGTATCTTCAGCTAAAATACCCCATGCCACCTTCCCAGTTGCTTCCCCACTCGTCCCCACAGGTAACCGCTGTTCTTCTGAATCCTTTCAGACATTCTTTATATACGAGCGACTATAAATATATATTCTTATTTCTTCCTCATTTTCACACAAAAGGTAGCAACTATAAACATTGCTCTGAACCTTATTTTTTGACATAAAATAATAACATCCGTCTTCATCAACTTATTCAGTTTGCCAAACTTATCTCCAAAAATCTTCTGGCTGATTGGATAACTCAAATCCACTCTCAAAGAGAGGGACGTTTACCCTTGAGAAGATACATAGGGATGGGCCATGAGCAACAAAAGTTATTGCAAATGAGGAGATTCACCAACGTCCTGTGTGGTTCAGAGGGAGAAAACATCTGCTTGTCAACATTCTTATATGGTTGTTCAAGAAAAAAAAAAAACACCTCACTTTGTTACAGTTACAGTCTTACAATCTACAGAGGAACCGCCTGACTCCACAACAATCCTCACTCCAGCCCTAGCTCCCCCAACCACTGCCATGCCTGAGCAAAGATTTTGATCCGATGGATGGTAATTGTGGACATAGAAGGAAGTAGATTCAAGTGACAATGAGGAGAAAAAAATCAGTAGGATATTGGTTGGGAGAGGAATGAATAAAGAATCTATCAAAAATGCCTGCGTACCCACAAAAGCCTACACATGGATGCTTATAGTAGCTTTACTCAAAATTGTCAAAACTTGGAAGCATCCAAGACGTCCCTCAGTAGGTGAAGAGAGAAACTGTGGTACATCCGGACAATGGAATATCATTCAGTGCTAAAATAAATGAGTTATCAAGTCATGAAGAGACATGGAGGAACTTAAAATGCATATTATTAAGTGAAAGATGTCTTGCTGAAACGGCTACCTACAGTGTGATTTCAACTATATGAAATTCCAGAAAAGGCAAAACTTTGAAGACTAAAAAGATCAGTGGCTGCTAGGGGTTGGGGGATGGAGGAATGAACATGCAGAGTACAGAGGACTTTTAGGGCAGTGAAACTATTCTGTATGATACTATAATGATGGATACATGTCATCATACATCTGTCAAAACCCACAGAATGTACAACACCAAGAATGAACCCTAATGTAAACTATGGACTTTGGCGATGACATTGTGTCAATGTAGGTTCGTCAACTGTAATAAATGGACCACTCTGGTGAGGGATGTTGATTGCAGGGGAGGTTGTGGTTGATAGTAGTCTTTTTCTCAATTTTAGAAGCAGTTCCACCTTTGCTCAGCTCACAGGGTATAATTTGAGAACTTTTGGTCTAATCCAACTCTCTCATTTTACAGATGAAGCATCATAAAGATGTATAAAGATCTAAGTCAATTCTCATCTCTGGGTCTTCATTTTCCAGCTCTCAAGTCCTAAGACTTCCATTTGTTTCCTCACTACCACTTAAGACAAACAGCTGGTTTCTCTTTTTTTGTTTGGTTTTGGTTTTGGTTTGTTTTTGCTGAGGAAGATTCACCCTGAGCTAACATCCACTGCCAATCTTCCTCTTTTTGTATGTGAGCCACCACCACAGCATGGCCACTCACAGATGAGTGGTGTAGGTCCATGTCTAGAACCAAACCCAGGCCGCCAAAGTGGAGCATGCCGAACTTAACCACTAGGCCACCTGGGCTGGCCCTCAAATAGCTGGTTTCTTTAAAAGAAATAACACAGGAGAGCGGGATGGTATATTAGAATAAGGGACACTCTCTCATGCTGTTCTGTAATTTTAAATATTATGCTTTCTGTAACTTCAATCAGTTTGTAAAGGAATCCAAAAAGCAAAGCCATAGACCTTAAACCTTTCTTCTCCTAATCTCACATCTATATAGAGCTTTACCTTTTACAACGTACAGAAAACTCTCGCCATTTGCAAGGGGTACATTCTCAAACCCATAATTTACCCCAACAAAATGTGATTAAGTATATTATCATAGGAATTACTATATAACAAGTGGAAGCAATAGGGTTATGTTGAGACGAAGGTTCTGCGTGGCTGGCTCAGCCTGCAGCCAGCTAAAGGCCTTATTCTACGTATGCCGGCTCCAGAGCAGGATTCAAAATTTGTATCACAGCAAAATTACAAATTATATCATGGGCCTTCAGGGTCTCTTGCAAACTGTTAAAACTGTGAATGTTAAACCCACAATACTTTTATTTCCCTTATCTCAGCTTTACCACTTAGTTAGATAAATTTCGACAAGTTACTTACCTCTCTGAGTCTCTGTTTACCCATCTGAAAAATGGTGATAATAACAGTACCTACCTTATTGGGTTGCTGTGTTGATTAGACGAGCAATGCATATAGAAAGCTCAGAACAGGGTCTGACACACAGTGAGTGTTCAATCAATGTCAGTTAATATCTCATTTGAGCCTCATGACTCAGGGATATTGTAATTCCCATGGTTTATAGATGCGCATCTGTCATGCAGTCGAAAGAACAATGAACTCGCAACCTAAGAATCTGGTTTAGGCTCTGGTTTATACTCACTGAGCCTTGTGAGCCACCTGACCTTTTGAACCTTAGTTTAATCGATAAAATGAGGACAATAATGCTATTTCCGTCTACCTACATTACTGCTATAAGCATCCAGAAAGAGCATATATAGAGAGAGATTTTAAGTATAAAAGACAATACAAATCAATCATACTGAGAATATGATCCTGGGAGGCAGTTTAGAGCAATGGTTATGAATGCTGGCTTTAGAGCCAGACTGCCTGAATTCAAATCCTGGCTCTACCACCTAGGAGCCGTGCGACCTCGAGCCAATTACCTTCCTTTTCTCTGCCTCAGTTTCTGCACTGGTAAAATTAGGATAACAGTACCTAGGTAAAAATAAGATAACCTATCTCATTAAATTGTTAACAGGATTAAATGAGATTATACATAGAAAGCACCTAGAACAGTGCCTGGTACACAGTACTGCTCAATAAACGTCAGTTGCTCAATAATAATAATATTAACTATTATTATTATTGTGGTTTTGGCAATTATTAACCTAGCCACAGGCCACTCCTTGAAGAACAGACAATTCGCCTCACCTGCTCTCCCGCAGCCTGGGCCTCTCGATGCCAGTCCTCCACCAGGGCCACCGCCTCCTCGCCACTCTCCGGGTGGTGTGCCTGCACCCAGGCCTGGGCCTCCCTGGGTAAGATAGTCAGGAACTGCTCCAGCACCAGCAGCTCCAGGATCTGCTCTTTGAGGCGGATCTCCGGCCTCAGCCAGCGACAGCAGAGTGCCCAGAGCTGGCTGAAGGCCTCGTGGGGTCCAGCTGCATCCCTGTACTGGAATTGCCTGAAGCGCTGGCGGGAGACCTCAGGGCCAGGGACAAGCTCACGGCCCTTCCCCCGGGGATTGGATTCTGATCTCCAGGAGTCCTCCTCCAGTTTCACAATCAGGAGCTCTTCAGGCTCGGGTCGGGGAGAGGCCTGGGCCTGGGATTCCAGGGCCATGGCCACGGTCTACCCTGAACCTCACTTCAGCTGGGCTGTCCTCGTCCAACGTCTTCCTGCATCTATAATGTGTCCTTCAAGGGGCTTCTGGGAGAGGAAATGCTCCCCAGGCTGCTGAAGGCAGAAAGACAAAGGATAGAGTGAGCAAGAGGGACCCAGGAGCATCGTTTTCTTCACCTCCCCCATACCTTCCACTGCCTTGGCATGGGGTGGGGCTGCTAAGAGACACTCCTTTCCCATAAACAGGAAGTTAGACCACAATCTGGCCCCAAAACCAGCAGCCAGCATACCTTGGACGAAGATAGCACAGTGTTAAATCCTCTGGGACACGCCTTAAACCCTTAGTCTGACATCAAGGCCTCCACGATCTGGTCTCAAACAGCCTACCTCTCTTCTACATGTATCCAAAGTCTGACCTTCCCTCCACTTGGGTTCCAAATGTCACCCCCTCCATAAGGCCTTTCTTCTTGGGCCTTATAGCTTTCCTCTAAGGGTGCTCTCCTTGCAAAATCCTTCTCACTCTACACTTCCTCTTGGTCACCCCACCCATTTGGCATTGTCCGTCTCTAAACTGGTAACTCCCAAAATTCCAGCCAGGACCTGTCTCCAGACTCCCAGACCCCAAAATCCAACCACCTACAGGACATTTCCACTTGACTGTCCCTTAGGCATCTCTAACTCAATGGGTCAAAAACTGAATTCATCATTTTCTGCTATAAACCTGTCCCTCTTCTGGAGCTCTCTATCTAGTGAAGGCATCACATTCCATCAAGTTACCCATACCGGAAACCTGGTCATTAACCTTCTCCAAGATCCCCCACATCCAACTCATCCCCAAGCTGTGTCCACTTGGCCTTCTAAGCATCTGTATCCCCAGTGCTGTGACCTTGGTCCAGAGGATCATCACATTTTTCACTTGATCAGCCTCCTAACTCATGGCCCTGCCTCCATTCCTCTCACCCCAACCCCTGGTCCAGTCTTTGCACAACAACCGGACTAGATCAAAATCTGATCATGTCATTTCTCTGCTAAACACCCTTCAGTGACCTCCCATTTCCCTCAGGACAAAGTGCAAACCTTGCTCACGTCTCCATCCTCACCTCTTTACCATGCTCCCACCAGCCAGGGTGTTTCAGCAGCACAGCTTGCAGCTCCCACCTCATGCTGCTCTCTGAACCCTCCCACATGCTGTGATCTCCTCTGGGAACAGTCTCCTCCCTTCCTTCACCTAGCTAGGTCTCAGCGTAAATTGTACTTTTCCAAGAGGGCCTCCCTGAGCCCTGAAACAAGATTCAGTCCTCAGCCACAAGATTCCAGGCCTCCCCATGTTTTCTCTCCTATTACCCTGATCATACTTCATGGTAATTATCTTAACCACGAGATCATAAGCTCCCAAGGGACCTAGCACAGTGCTCAGCACACATAGGGAGCACTCAATAACACTGAAATAATGGTCAAGGAATGATGGGGATGTCTCAAGAAGCAAGGATTATAATTAATCCCTTTCTGTGCACACTAGATAAAAAAAGTATAAATTACCTTCTTGCTCATGCCAGAGGAATTCTTTCCTCTTTATTTCCATCTCTGTGACACTTGCCACTTTCTACGTTTTATTAGAGGGGGGTGTGTACATATGTGTCCCTGGAGATTACTTAGGGCAAGGAATACAGCTTACTCCTCTTGTTTGTCCCCCCCTCCCCTCCCCTTCCCCACTCTCACAATAAGCCTGGGGCACTAACACAGGAGGCTCTCAGTAAATGCTTGTTGAGTGAACGTCTGGGGTTGCTTCTTTCACACAATGAAGACTCTGACAACACTCCTGCTGGGTTATCTGGAAAAATGAGCTCTTTGTGTCATTCCCAACAAATCGAGATGACATAAAAAATACCCACTCAAAGGAGGCTATTAGCGGCTTCCAAGTGGGAGGGACGCAGCTGAATTGAGAATGGAGGGAGGGTGGTATTTTGATTTTAGGCCATCTGACTGGATTGTCTGTAAACAGGGCAGGGGTAATGAAAAAGAAAGGCTTGTCCTGCAGGCCTCCACGTACTTACGGAGAGGCTAGGAACACAGCTCATGGCCACCTGGCAGCTTCCTGCTCATCCTTCAGCTACCAGCCCAATGTCACCTCATCTGTTTAGAGCTCCTTGACAAGCCCTTGTCATGCCCTGGCCCCCTCCCTGCTCTCCAAGAATCGCCTCCCCAATCCTGTGTTCCCAAAGCAGTTGCGACATACCTCTAACATAGGTGTTACCCTACACGACTGCAGTCCCCTCTTTTTACATCTGACAACCCCATTAGGTTCTATTACTAGGGTCAGTACTATTTTACTCATTTCTGTATCCACAGTGCCCAATCTAGTGTCTGATAAATAGCAGGGCCATTGGAAGTTCTGTCGCCTTTTATTAAAATGGTAAATCTTGTACATCAAAAGCCTAATGAGCTATGGAAGGCCCATAATTTCTATTAAGCTAAAGAATTAAGCTTCATGAAATTTCTTTTTTAACCACAGCCTTAATCATGCACTAGTCCAAACACATCTGTGTCACTCTTACACGAGGGCTAATTCACCAGTCACTAGAGCCCCAGTATGTATCCTGCACTGTACTGGGAGCTACAGAGCCAATAGTAACCAGGACAAAGAGTCTCTACCTTCAGAGTAACAGTCTAATGAGAGAGACAGTCAATAAGCAAGCAAAGTGTGTGCTCCTGCACAGAGAGAACACTACAACAAAATAGGCAATTAGTAGTCCCACCAGGACCAAAGCCCAGAGTCTCAGATAATAGGTAGTTTCTTCTGAGAAGACTTGAAAGTCCCAAAGGTTAGTTTCAAATACAAATGTGAGAGATTTTTCTGCTACTCTCTTAGACAGATAGGAATAGCAGAAGCCTATCCACAGAGGGAGGTCAACACGGTCAGCCAAGGGCAGACCGTCTTCACACACAGCTGATAAAGGAAAAAGGGACAGGCCATTCCTTAGTCCTGAGACTCCCAGGAATCTCGGGGCCTCACTCGGATCAGCAACCTCAAAGAGCACCCACTTACTGAGTGCCCATGAGGTGCCAGGCCCAGGGCTAAGTGCTCTACATTCATAACTCACTGAATCCTCCAGGCAAGCAAGTGAAGTGTCATTAGTGTTGAGTTGTATTACACTGATCTGTAACTGACACATAAAACTACATACAAACACCAGAAAGAGAAGGACGTAATTTAATAGTGTAGCCAATTCCATTCATTATGTGCCTATTCCAGAGTGAGCATGCGGCGATGATACCCATGACTCTGCTGGTCCCCAGGTTGGTCTGAGTTCCCTCAAGCCTCTTTCCACTGAGTGTGAGCAGTGTCTTTCATACAGCGTGTTCCCTAAACACAAGCCAACTCTTTCATCTAATGTTCAACCAAGAAAACCTGACTGTGCTGGTTAGCTTATTCAAAGACCGTGTGTTGGTTTCTAAATGGCTCCTCGCCAAAGGCTTTTCAAGCTGACTGTGATTTCTGGCTAACAGTGATTTTCACCTTCTGTGTTGACTTTAGAATTATCCTGTAAGGTATAACTCCACTTAATCCTCAATATACATACAGGGAACTGAGCTGCTATGAAGAAGATTCACTTAAGGTTACGTACCTGGCAAGTGGCAGAGTTGGGATCTAAGCCCAGATTCGTTTTCTCTGGTTATTTTTCTTAACCTCACCATCTAGCCTCCTCTACGTCTGCCAGTCATCCAAACTCCTGAGATGATGGTATGGAGAGTGGAAAGAACATTAAGGCAGGAGCGAGCAGATCAGGGTTCTAGTTCCACTCCTGCCATTTATCAGCTGTGTGACTTTGGACAGGTCACGTGGCCTCTGCAGCTGCCTATCCAGACTGCAGCTTACAGCTTGACCCTACTCTGCAGTTGCCCCAGGTTCCCCAATTAGTACGATGGAAGTAAAGCAAAGGGACAGGGAGACCAGAATCAGTGGCTACAAATTTAAATGGCTATAGGGGCCAGGCAATGTAAATGAGTCAATGAGTGGGGTGGGGACTGTAGCTAAGGGGAGCACCCGGAGGAACACTGGCCCTTCCAATCCTTCCAAGAGAAGCTAGAACTCTGGCTTTTTAAACATTGGCCACCAACTCAAAATTGTTTCAAACACCATGGGGATTAAATAGAGTGTGATGGCAGGCTTCATTCAGCACAGGCTGTCACTTTGCCACCTTTCAGCTAAATGATCTCAAAGGATTCTTTTAATATCCAGGAAGACCTAGAAAGGGTACAGATTCCCCTAAGCAATAAGGAATAAGTGTCAACTGCTGTCAAAATCAGCATCCCTTTACAAACATGGGGAAGTTGAAGGGCATCCTGGCTCCTGGGGTAGTGAGTGTGGATGTGGACATGAGAAGCCCACCCAGTAGGATGGGAAGATCTGCCCCAGTCCCACCGGAAACGTCAAGACTGGTCTGTGACCTCCAAAGAGAAAGAAACTGGGCTGTCAAGCTTACTCAGCTGAAGGTCCAGGCTATTGCTTAAGGCAGCCTGACCTCACACTTAAGGGTTTAAACCAGGGAAAGCAAATAGGTTTCATTTAAAGCATCAACTTCGGTCAACCGCGCTAAGGACTCCGACTCCACATGTGAATATGTGCTGTGACCAATTAGCTACGACTGCCAGACACAGGAAGGGCAAGTGACAGCACACACTCCAAATATTTGCCACCCCTGGCTTAAACTCCCATAGGCAGTGAACCAGCTTCGAGCAAAGACAGCCCTGACAGGCTAGAGAATACGAAAGCTCATGCCCCTGGAAACCCACTGGAAGCAGCAGTCTTCAAGCCTGGTAGAGTAAAGCTCACCCTGGATGGTCTTTATTCACGCATTCATCACATATTTACTGATTTACTCGACTGACATCAAGTATTTACTACTCTGCACTGGGCAATGGGGAAACGGAAATGACTCAGAAACTGTTCTGTCCTGGAAACACTCACAGTCTAGCAGAAGAGACCAAAAATAAAATAAAGTCACAGATAGTTACAATCAAATGAAGTAAATGCAGTAAAAGAGGTCTGTAGGAGCTGGAGGTCAGGGGGTGACCCAATCTGCTTAGAGAATTGAACAAAGTAACATTTGAGTTGGTTCTTGAAGAAAGAATGGCCCCAAGAAACGGGGGGGAACCTCGATAGCCCTGGAGTGTGTGGTGCATGAAGATTAGGACACAAGGGACTTTATGAAGAGTCTTGAATATCAGGCTACGGTGTTCGGACTTAATTCTGTAGGTGATGGGAGTCAATGAAGGTTTTTAAGCAGAAGGCATAATCAGATTTGTGAGTTACACAGTTCACGCTAGCTACAATGTGTTTGTCCAGGCAGAGGTGAAAGGGTGGAGGCTTCAGCAAAAACTCTGACAAGGAAGGGGCAGATTCAAGACACAGTAGGGACACTGAAAGATGTGAAGATCCCTGGATGTGGAAGAATGCAAGAGGACTCAGAGGGCGTCTGGGAAAAGTGGATGATAATGCCACTCACTTCCATCACGCAGAAGGAAAGAGGTGCAGGTTTGGGCCGAACACAATAGCCGGTCCCTCCCACTGGGTTCCAGAGGTCACAACCAGTAGAGAAACTGTAAGGGGGTATCAAATCAGATATGTTTATTCTAGGTGGGCAGGCAGAGACTGGAACACTATTTTTAAGGTCAGGCTTCAAGCTCAGGCCCTCTTATCTTCACTTCTTGCCAGAGCCCCAGAACACTCTAGCCTTCCCTCTGTGTCCCCCAGACCGTTCTGTGACCCTCCCACCTCCAGAAACTCTCTCGGTCTCCTCACCTACACACCTTTCTAAGACCCTCCTCACTCCCAGGGCCCCCTATCTCCCTCCTCATCCCCGACCCCTCTCTGACCCTTCCCATCTCCAGACCCTTCAGCCTCTGAGCGTCCCTCACCCCCCACCTCCACATAAAGGCTTCTTTCTCCCCTCTCACCTTCCCCGGCCCTCTGGGACACCACCACCTCCTAAGTCTCCAGCCCAGAGCCTGAGTCTCAGCTGCCCCCGCTCCGCCACCCGGACTCACCCACCGAGACACCCACTTCACAACAGGGCGGAAGTGCTCCAGGGTTCGCGCAGGGAATGCTGGGACGCGGAGTCCAAATCGCGCCACCCCGGGAATGGAGCGTCTGAGACTACAACTCCCAGAAGGAAATCGCGCGAGCGCCGGTGGGCGGCCCCTTCCGTTTGCTGCCTTTCAGATGTCGTCAGCCAATAGCTACGTCATCTCCTCCCGGTCCCCGGCACCGGGACAAATCGGAACAGGTTCTAAGCGTGAGGGCGGGGCCTGTTGCGACGGATACTTTCCGCAGACTCCGGGATAACGGCACCCAGTGGGCGGGCACTCAAGCAGAAGGGGCGGGGCCTATTGAGGGGACCAGCGAGAGCCGTAGACCCAGGGAGATCAACGCAGAAACAATGAGAACTAAGCAGAGAGGGTGACTAGAGGTAACCACACTGGTGGGCAGGAGAGAGTTGGACAATTGTCGGTTGAGTTTCCGCTCGCAGTTAAGGTGCATGACTTTGGATCAATTGTGAACCTCGCTTTCTTCACCTGTAAAGTGAGGATAATAGTAGCATCCGCGTTGCCGAGTTTTTGTGAGGCTTCGATGAGATACTACACCTAGGAAGATTAGCTCAGGGCGGGGGTCCTAATAATACACAGCGAAGGTTATCTATTATTATGTAAATCAGTTAGTACAGAGCTTGACACTTCGTGAGTGCTGAAAGAATGTTAATCATTATTAGAATAATAATAAGAAGAAGAATATAAATGCAGTTGCTTTATACCATTGTGAATACGTTGGGGTGTGATCAATCTAATATGGAGTTGAGAATGTGGGTTTTGTAGTCAGACAGGGATCGAAATCCCAGCCCAACTACTTCCTAGCTGTGTGGCCTTGAACAAATTACTCCAACTCTTTTGTTTTGGGTTTTTTCGTCTGTAAGATGCAGGTAATACAATAGAACCTACGTTGCAAGGTGTTGTGAAGATTGAATGAGATAATACAGTAAAATATGGTCCCTGGAGTCAAGGGCTCAATACATGTTGGCTGTTGTTAAAATTAGGGGAATTCTATTATCTTAGTTTTAAAACCCAGTTCAAAGTCCTTCTTCTCTGTGAAACATGTTTCAACTTATTGGTAGTAATAACTCAGTGAACGTAATTGCAACCTCCTTGTGACTGAAGTCTCACAACAGTCCTATAAGGTTGGTGTCGTGACCCTCAGTTTACCAGGAGGAAATGGGAGCTTAGAGAGATGATGTGAGCTGTTCAAGATCGCATGGCCAGTAAGTGCCAGCGCTGGGATTTGAACTGCTGGGCATGTGACTCCAAAGGTCTCTTCTCAGCCCCACACTGCATAAGGAAAAGGTCACAGGAGGAGGAGGGGCCTGAGTGGGGAGAGAGAGTGGGGCAGTGTGGGGTGCGCGGTGGAGACATTTGAGAGAATGTCAGGGTCTGAAGCTGGAAAGGCAGCTTCGCAGAGTCAGGTAAATATGTCCACTTCAGGATCATCTACCCTGACAAGGAGCAATGGAGGTGAGGATGCGCGGAGAGATGGACACCACTAAGACACAAGAGGGCGCCCGTCGCCCTGAATCCAGCCTGGAATTGTTCCATGGTTTCCCTTAGCCTTTGTCTGATTAAAGCCTGGCCATTTACAGAGGAGGAAAACTAAGGCCCCACGAGGCCAAGTACCCCAACCAGTGTCATACAGAAATAAGCAATAGAGCCTGAACCAGACCTCCGTTCTCTGCTTCAGCATCCACCAAGATTTTTTTCTGTCCATACTTATCTGTCAAGAACCCTAGGCTCTAAGGATGCAGAGATGAAGCAAACTGGTTGCCGTCCCCAGGGCCTGATCTTCAAACTTTCCCAATAGAGTTTCCTATTAGTAAATTAGTAATGTTTCCTATTAGTAAAACTTTTTTGAGCACACACTCCCAACATGTGTGTATTTATTTACTTGTAAATGAAATACACGTAGTACATGTATAATTACATGAAAAGCTAACTTTTATTGAACATTTACTATGCATTACTAGATCTTGCTCTCGGTGCTTTATACATATTATCTCATTTAATCATCACAAAACCCGTTGAGGGAGAGTCTAATATTATCCCATATTACAGAAGAGGAAACTGAGGTACAGAGGTTAAGTAACATAACAAAGCTGTGTGGCTAAAAAGCAAGCAGTCTAGCTTCAGAATAAAGTGAAATTTTAAAAAGTGGAAATAGAAGTTTTAACATTTTCTTCCTAAACCCCAGTGACTCATCTTGTGCACCCCACTTTGGAGACAATTGCTCTTGGGGCTCCTAGACCTTTGAGGGATCAATACTTTGAGAAAGGCAAGTGCAGGAAGTTGCTAGAACCCAGAGGCAGCAGCTTACCTGGGCTGGGAGGTCAGGAATGGCTTCCGGAGAAAGTGATGGCTGAGCTGAATCTTAAAGGACACGTAATAGCTCCCCAGAGAAAAGAAACTGGGGGAAAGTATGTTCTTGGGTGAAGGAGCAACATGTGCAAAGGCCCAGGGGCAAGAGTGCATGGTGTTCTGGGAGTGACAAGTAGTTTAGCAAGCTAGAGCACATAGCACCAAGGGAGTGGGTTCCCACTCCCAGTGTTGCTATGAGGCTCAAACAGAAAGGTAGATATGCCCATGCATTCATGTTTTTATTGAGGGAATGGGCAATCAGTCTGCTGCCTCCTGGGCAGCATCTCAGCTTTTTGGTCCTCAGCTGCCAATTCGTCTATAATCCAGATGGAAAAGGGGGCCCCTCTGCCCTTGAAGATTTGGTTGGACTTCGCCTGGACCCCATGCCATAGCTTAGGAATGCTCAGAGCCCTCCTTGCTTCCCCATGCTCTCCATAAATTCCCAACTTTATGTCGTCTGGCCTACAGTTTCTGTGACCCCAACCCCTTCGCCTTCTGCCTCAGGTGGTTTTCCATCAAAAAACAAAAAGTCCAACTAAGCCAAGCATCTCATGGATTTAGTCAATTTACTGAGGATTTGGAGATCTTGAGATCACATCACGTACCCCACAGCCACCTGCCATCTCCCAAATGTTCTCATTCAGCTTCCAGAACCTCCCCAAAGCCTGTGTTCCCAAAACCACTGGTTGATCCTCCCTACACTTGCAGCACCCCACCTCCCACAGGAAGATGAGTTTGGTCTCCCGAAGCCACACATGCCTGTTCTCTCCGCGCCAGGCTGGCTTGCTTTTCCTAACCCCACCCTCCAACTGACATGCAACTACTCTAGCCCAAGCCAAGCTGCCTTAGCCTGCTCCTCAGCCAAGCCCAGAACTCAGCCTTTCTTTCATCTTCCTTGGGCCACATGCAGTAGTCTCCTCTGCGGAGCAGCCGGGCCAGTCTATGGTAGCGGGGGAGCTGGTGGCGGGAGACAGGCTCCAGGAAGACCAGGAGCAGCCCTGGAGGACGGGGGGCAGCCAGCAGGAGGGAGGTGGCCAGGCGGAGCTCCAGGCAGCAGCGTGGGGTGCGCAGGGCCTGGCGGCTCAGCACGCAGAGCACAACCCGGCTGCTTGCCATGCTGTCTGCCACATTGTCAGTCACATCCTTGCCTGGCTCAAAATCCCGCTCGGGGAGGCAGAGGCGCAGCCCCTGGCCAGCCGGACGGCAGCCCTCCAGAGCAGGCAGCAGCTCCCACACCACCCAGCCCTCATCTTGCCCGCAGTGGGACACGAACACATCGTAAAGGAACCTCTTGCCCTCACTCCTCCGACACTTCAGACCCTGAAGCCAAGCCCTGAGCAAGGCCTGGAGATAGAGGATCCAGGAGTTCCTGGCTTCCTGTAGAAGGGGCAAAGAGATTAGCAGAAGCAACAGGGCAGAACTGCCCAAAAAGAGTTCCAACCCCACAGTTGTGGGGCAGTGGCTCTGGAGAAAGGGGAAAAGGGGATTCTTGAGGCGGCCCCCAGCTTCTGAGTGGCACAGCTGTGATACTACATGCATGTATGTCCTGGGGGACCGCTCATGCCAAGGACCCACCCAGGCATTGGCACACTGGCAGGCTAAGGATGCACTTAGAATATACATGTACTGGGGCATCTGGGGACTATGCTCTTGGAGGCTGCTATCCAGCACAAGGCCTGTCTCCCAGTCTAGCACTAAGACCTGGAGACTTCCCAGGCCCTGGAAAGCAGCTGCAGACAGTGTCTCCAATCCTGTTTGGGCCAGATACAGCACCTCCAGGCTGGGCAGCTCACCCACCAGCTCCTCAAGCCGTACTAGGCGGGGCCGGGCTCGGGACTGCACTGCCTGCAGCTTCAGCTCCCGTAGGCTGGGCAGCCCCGTGATGCAGCAAGGCCTGGAGCTGTGCCCATCTCCCTGTACCCTCAGATACTGGAGCCCGGGGAGCTGCCAGAGGAAGTAGCTGGAGTTGTCCTGGGAGCAGAGAGCCTCCAAGCTATTGCCAAGCAGGGAGAGTTGACGAAGGGCAGGGAAGATCTCAGTGACATTCTGCGTCTTCAGCTGCAGTCCCCAGCCTTTTAGAGTCAGGGTCTGCAGGACTGGGAATATGTTAGAAGCCAGCTTCCAGTGCTCCCTGCCTGAGATTGCATGAAGCTCCAAGCTAGTCAGCCTCACAGGCAGGGGCAACGCTACCCTGGAAGGGCCAGAGGGGAGCTGCAGTCTCAAGTCGTGCAGATTCTCTGGGCCCCAGAAGACCCAGGCTGAGCTCAGTACCATGTGGGTATCCAGCAGGTTTAGAGTGGTCAGTGCAGGCAGAGGAGCCAACCAGTCCTCGCCCAGGGCTTCCAGTGGATTCCTGCCCAAGTCCAACATCTCCAGCCTCCTTAAGCCCTGGAATACCTGGCCCTCCAGACAAACCAGCTGGTTTCCCTGAAGTAGCAGCTCCCGCAGATGGGGCAAACAGGAGAAGGCGGCTGGGGGCAGGGTACGCAGCCCATTTTGGGACAGATCCAGGACCTGCAGTCCTGACACAGCCCCTGTCTCATTCGTGCACAGCATGGCACTCCGCAGTTGGTTGCTGGCCAGGTTCAGTCTCTGAAGCCTGGGCATGGCAGCCAGAAAACCTGATGGCAGGTCAGTCAGGCCACTGCTTTTAAGACCCAAGCTCCTCAGACTGTAGCAGGAAGCCAGGGCCTCCAGAGCTATGTGCCCTAGCGGAGTGGATCCCAAATTCAACTCCTCCAGCTCAAAGTGGGCAACGGCGACGGCAGGCAGCTCCGCAGTGGCAGTATACATCGCAGACAGAGTGTCCAGTCTCTGCAGCCCAAGCCCCCCCACTGCAGCTGCTTCCATCTTTGTGTGATCCAGAAGCAGAGTCCCCAACTTGAGGCCCTGGAGGGCCCCAGGACTGGCCATCTTCAGCTGATTGTTGAATGACAGATCCAACATGTCCAGGGTCCGAGCATCACCAGAGGAGGGGCCAAACACCAGGTCTGGGAAGATGTCGGCCAATTTC